TGGTCACAGATCAGCCGGTGAGGATGAAATGAGTTCACCCATGCAGATGCCGGTTCCCACGCAGATGCCGGCTCTCTTGACGCTGGCACCAAGTGACAGCTGGGAAACGGGAGCTGTGATTATTCGTCACCCGCTGCCTTCTTATCTTTTATGCTTACAAGAAAGGTTAATGGGCATGCATAAAGCTACAAATTTCAAATTTCATGCATATTCTGTTATTACTGATTTTACCACCTGGAAAAGCTCAAACTATTCCACGCTGCCCTTGAAATAAGGACAACGTTCTGTACGCAACAGAGTCAGCTCAAAGGAATCCACACCAAACCCCAGGCTCTACCACAAGCTCAAGACAGATCCGTGTGTGCTTCTAGAATGCGCACGGCGGGCAACATGTGCGCCATGAATTCCCCAGCGCGGAGTTCAGTGTGGCCACGCTTTTCAGCTGATCTCTGTGGAGGCGCTGACAACTGAAAAAATGATTGCAAGCGATCATGTGTAGAAAGGAAGTCGAATGGGGAAATAACGGGGTGGGGGTGGCAGAGTGACTGGATATAACTCACCCCAAACCACGAGGCCTGCATGCCCATAAAATTAAGGGCAGATCCGATGCTCTCAAAGGACCTGTTGAGCTTTAAATTTCTTCCATTGTTCCAAAATCTTATAGAGGGACTGGGGCATGGAGGCAGGCGCAGGGCAGTGTGGGTAGTAGCACGCTGTAGTCTTCGCAGCTTGTCCATCAGTCGTACTCCAATCTCACCTTTGGAGATGGTGCCACTTTTATCATTTTCCTTGAAAAAGTGCATCTACAGAGAAATCCTAAAAGTGGTCTCATATCTCAGTGGAAGTTCAAATCAACGCTTGCACACAACAGAATTGGTTCCAGCTATTGAAAGAGACTGTTTACAAAGTGTTGCTACTGACATTTGCATATAAGCCTCTGCCCTCATGAACTGGTGGAAAGAAAGACGCACAGTTGGGTAGAATCTGACCTCAACTATGTGAAAAGGGGGATCCAAAATGCTGACGGTGGTTGTTGCTACTCTGTGCAATTAGGGCTAATTTTTTTCCTTGCCTTCCTCTCAGCCACTGCTGCATCGCCACTTTCTCCAGGAGTGTACACTGCTTCTCCCATAAGGAAAAATTATTTACATTTATGAGGTTTCAAATGGCATCAAGTTATGTTAAAACTCCATGAGGTGTGCAGAGATCTCAGGAGCCAGGTTTTTATTGGTGGGGGTCAAAATCAGAAACTGGCCCCCAGGCACCGCTGCCTGCCTCTCAGCCAGCCACGCACAGAGCACGGTGCCTGGAGGGCATCGGAACACCACCGCCTCTGGATCACTCGGGGACTGATGAGTCAGGCTTGCGAGGGATCCAAGCCCTTTTTCTTCTCCTCCTCCTCCCACTGTCTGCCTTGGGCTGGGTTTTGTTTTTTGCATCATTAGTACCGCCAGGCTGCGGCTTCAGTCAAGCTCGTGTCTGTCAATGTCCGCTTTTTTTTTTTTTCCCCCTAGCAGTTCTGGTGACAAGTCTGGCAAGGGAGACGCGCCAAGCTTTTGAATAAAGGGATTTGGGGATTATCCGGCAGATCCCAAATCATCCGCCTGGTCCTGGGTCTTGGGGGCCCTGGATAATTTCAGGGGCCTGCATCTCAGAAACTGCAGACAGGATACAGGAGGGAGTCTTGGGAATTACAGGGCTGTCCTAGGGAGCCTGCAGGGGGAGAGGGACAAGTCAGCTCAGAGTCACTCCTCACAGCCCCCTCCGACCGGAGGGCAGCTTCCTGGAGGAAGCTCTCCTTGGGGCTGGCCGGAGGTTAATCCTGAAGAAGTTATCATGCCATCTCAGGCAGCTAATTCTTCCCTGAGCCTCCAGGCACTGCTGACCCACCCCACCTGCTCCCAGGATCCTCCGGGGAGGGGGCGTGGCCGGGGCCTGGGCTAGCAGGTACAAAGTTGGTGCAGCGGAGAGGAGGTTAGTAATGCTCTCTCCTCATCAGCTCCAGGGTCATATGCCTGCTCCAGCTTCGTGGGTCCATAGGCAAATCACTCACGTTCTGTTTGAGCCTTGATTCTCTCATCGGTAAAATGGGACTAGCAGACCTACCTCCCAGGGGTGTGGAGAGAAAGGAACTCTTGAATCGTGCTGATGTCCCAAAACAACCAGAAAGCCAGGCTGCCTCTGTCAGCCAAATCCTACAAACAAGGCCACAGACGCGGCTTACCCTGCAGATCCCAAGGACTTTGGGGCAAGGACCCTGCGAGCGCCTGCTGCCCCATGAAGCTGCGGCCCAGCCCCACCCTCTGGGGCCCAGCATCACCGACAACCGGCCAGCTGCCCAGGGCCAGAAACCAGGTCCACGCCCCACAGTGGGGAACTATTTATAGCCAAGTGTTCCTTCACCTCCAATCCACCATGTAACAGTTTGGTTGGCTCCGGTTGGGAGAAAACAGTGTTCTTGTCAAAACACTCTTCAAAAATATCTCAAATCAAGAGATAATTGGTGAGGAGGCCCTGGCAAGATGGATGGAAACCTCTGGTGCCAGGCTAGCAGGTGCCTTGGCCCGACGGGGTTGGTGTGGCTCCCGACGTCGCTGGCATGGGCACAATGACTGCTGGGCGTTCACCACTGCCCAGGAACTACAGTGAATACAACAGGAAGGATGATCAATGTACACTTGAAAAAAGAATGTGTATACAAACAAACTCCCTCCCATATGTTACTGGGTTTCCTCCAAAGGAAACAGATTACATCAAATGCCTACCAGTGTTCCACTCTGTGTAAGGCTGGGGGAATCTCACGGCCCCCTGCTCTGGATGCTTGAAGCCAAGCGAGGAAGGCAAGACAACCACCAGGGAGAAGCAAGCCATTTGCCATGAGCCAGAATGACACTGATCATGAGTGTTTCAAGAGCTAAGGGCAGAGCAAGATCACCCCGGACTTGGACATCTGCAAAGAGAAAGCGGGCTCTGAGTTGAGCCGAGGCATAGCTTGTCACGTCGAGGAAAAGAGTAAAGGGTTTCAGGCTGGAGGTGCAGGATGAGCAAAAGCACGCAAACTGGAGCACAGGGGGCCCAGCTGGAGAAAGAGGAAGTGAACGGGCTTGGCCAGGGCGGGGAGAAGTGTGAGGAAGACAGCAGCAGAGACCACAGCAGAGGCAAGGGGCTTCCTAGGTTGTCCAGGATCATTGCATGTTACAGATGCACAAATGGAGGCTCAGAGAGGTTAAGCTAGCCACCAAAAGCCACACAGCCAGTTATCAATAAGAGATTAGCTAGGAATACAGATCTCTGTGTATTCCATGAAGACTCTCAGCTGAGGGGTGGGTACTGTGGTGCAGTGGGTTGAGCCCCTGCTTGGGACATGCCGCCATCTCTGTGTGCCAATTCAAGTCCTAGCTACTTTGCTTCTGAGCCAGCTCCCTGCTAATGCACCTGGTAAGGCAGCAGATGATGGCCCTAGTTCTTAGGTTACCTCCACCCATGTGGGAGATCCGGATGGAGTTTCAGGTTCCTGGTTTTGGTCTGGCCCACCCCCTAGCTGTTGTGGACATTTAGGGAGTAAACCAGCAGGTAGCAGATCTCTGTCTCTCCTTCTCTGTCACTCAACCTTTCAAATAAAGAGCTATTAAAAAAAGAAAAGAGAAAGAATCTCAGCTGAGAGTCAGGTGGCTGCAGAAAGGAACAAGAGGAGCCTGAAATAGGACAGTCCCAACCATGGAGGTTGCTGAGACTATAGGAGGTGTCTAATAAATGCTTGCCGGGGACACTGATGCAATGGCCACTAGAACGGGTGGCTCTGATTTCGTTTTCTCCTCCTTCCCACGGCCCTTCCCCTCCAAGTGCATAAAAAAAAAAACCCTCAACTTGACCAGGCTGTCTCCATCCAGTGGGAAAAAAGCAGTCAGGAGGCGCCAGAAAGCATGGCAGATTTGGAACCTCTCGGTGGTGTGCGCGGGCACAGAGAGAGCGCAGAAAACCAACCCCCTCTGTGGGCGGCAAGTGGGCTGGAGGCAAGGAGCACCTGTCTCGGCTTCTCCTCGAGCCCCAGAATCTCCCACTCTTTGACGTGGTGAGAAATCCGGGGTTCTGGACGTTCTCTCCGTTAAAAAGCAGAGAGAACCGCAAGGCTAAACGTCTCCGGAATGTGAGTCGGGGGGGGGGGGGCAGCCTGCCGTTCACCTTCCCCTGGCAGCTATGAGGAGGGAAGGGAAACTATCTTGCTTGCCAGCCTCCCAGGAAGCAAAGTGGCCGGTGCCTCGTTCCCTGGCTGGGCCGGTAGTGGGTTGATTGCATCCAGATGTCCAGAATTTCTTCCAGGCCACTTCTGGGGGTCTCGAAGGAGCTCACAAAGCAACCAGTACAGTCTTGGATACAAGGGGACTTTGAAAAGTTCGTGCACAATGGAATTCAAAGGTATGTCTGTTCTGGTGCAAAAGACTTTTGAAATCCAAGTACAGAGAGCTCTTCAAAAAGTTCGTGGAAGGGGCCCGCACTGCTGCCTATGACACCAGTATCCCATGTGAGCGCTGGTTTGTGCCCCGGATGTTTCTCTTCTGATCTAATCACTTGAGGAAGTAGCAGAGGATGGTCCAAGTGCTTGGACCCCTGCCATCCACGTGGGAGACCCAGATGGAGTTCTAGCCTCCTGGCTTTGGCCTGGCCCAGCCCAACACAGGCCATTATAGCCATTAAGCTAACAGGAGTGAACCAGTGGATAGAAGATCTCTTTCTCCCGCTCTCTCTCTCTCTGTAACTCTGCCTTTCAAATACATAAATTTTTAATAAAAGGCTATGGATAATGCATCTTGTGAAAAAAAAAAAAGCGTAAGGATTTCAAAATACCTTCAGAATAAATGGATCTTTCAATTCCATGTTCCATGAACTTCCTCGAGTCTCCTCGTATAACCCAGGTGCATTAAAAATAAATAATAAAGAAAGAAAAGCACAAAATGGGTCACTATCAAAATAGACATTTGAAGAAGGCACAGAAAACCAACCTTAAGTAACTGGCCATCTCCAGTCCCCAGGAACAAGACAGTCCTGTTCATCACCACGGTGCCGTACACGGATGTCAGGTCGGAGTGGATCAAGGTGGCCGAAGCGATGGGCTGCACTCGGGCGGGCTGATCCCCTTCTTTCTGAACATGCACACAGACGCACCAATAAGAGAAGAGACCATTTGAATTGTGATACTTCTCATTATACTCACAGAACGTCACTCACGCCTTCCCCAGAAGGAACCCACGCTCATTCCCTTAAAAAAGATACCCAGGGCTGTTTTTTATCACCTTTGCCACAAAACCACCCTGCTTGTCCAACCCAGGCAAACTCATTTGTTCCCTACATATGATCACAGATCGACCGCCAGCAGGGAGCCAGCCATCCATTTCACACTCCCCCAGCTGAGAGCCGCAGCCGAGACCCACGGCACTGCCAAAGAGAGAGCCCACTGCGGAACTGGGAGGGAGGCGGTCTTGTACTTGGCTGTGCACATGGTGCTTGCCCGAATTCATTTCAGTGAGGCACTGGCTCCTGTGAGGTTCGACACAAACGCCTCCCAAGACGTGACAGGCACAATCCTCTTGGGTGGCATGGCAGAGAGCAGAAACTCCGAAGTTACAAGAAGGGTGCCACGTGCCGCCCAGAGCCAGGGTACCTCACGCACAGGGTAAAGAGCCAAAGACACGGTCACAGGTGGCGAGCGTGACAGCGCCACAGAGCTACAGGGCAATGCAGCCGTGGGGCTGCGCCTGATGCTGACGTCTTGAAGGAAGAAATGAAAAAACACTGCCTCCCAACTCCAAAGCATTTAAATTGTCAGCGGCTCTGAGCACACGGAATCACATGCTTGCTCCCTGATCGTTAAATAAAACCCCTCTCCGAGCTCAGAGCAGAGATGGTGTCGACAGAACGTCTTTTCCCTTTTCCTTTAAAAGCAGCGAGGTGCTCCCATGCTGCTTCCTGCCTCCAACGCCAGGAAGCGGGCTTTGCTGCTGGGTCTCGGGGAAGCTCCTAAACACACTGCGATTGCACACTTTCCCTGCCAGGGCTCCCTTCCCCACCGTCCTCGGGTTTGCAGAGGCACACTTCCCTTTCAGCCCATGGAAGAGCCGGCCAAGTTCAGCAGGCACCACAGCACCTCCGAAAACGGGCAGGGGGAGGCACAGACTTATTAACTTCATTAGGTTATTGTCGACTGTGTTTATGTCTTTCAATTTATGTCTTATTAAATATTCATTATTTTTAAGCCCACCAAGTTTCATTAACATCTACACTAAATGGATTCACGGACTAAATTGATTTCTGCAGCTTTAACGTGTCGTCCAGGTTTCCTTGTGGACGGTGCGCTGTGCGCTGATGGTGAGCTAGCGTGGATTCCTCCAACGCCCTGCTCACTTTGCAAGGAAAAGAGTCATCACCCAAGAGAAAGCGACTTATCTGCATAAAATAGTCTATAGAGAATTCAGTCTAAGAAGATTTCTGGAAAGCCCATTAGAGATTTTTTTTTTCCTCTCCTGTTAAAAGATAGTACTTCTCAGGCAGTTGGGGGAGATGAGAGGCTGTCCTGTTAAAATAGGAGTTAAGGCGGAGGGCGGGGGGAATCTCTGTGGGTCTAAGGATTGGAACAAAAGATCACTGTTTAGATAAGGAAGCCTCGTGACCCTGAGCAGCAGAAGAAAAATCAGATGACCTTTAGATTAAAAAATAATTATTAAAAAAAAAAAAACACACCACACGTGTTGCTTTAAAATAAAGCCAGAATTGTTCAAACGTAAGAGCGGCTGACCATGACTATTACTTTTATTAAATGCTGGAGCAATGCAGAGAGGCTAACTCAGGGAACTGGGTGGCGTCTCTGCCTGGGCTTCCAGAATGTCCTAAGGCTGCTCTCTGTGGCTAGGGGACTCCATTCTCCCTCCTCTCAAAACACAGAAAGATGACTCTGGATTGTAGATCATCCAAAGGTCCAAATGGAACAGGGTACTCCCTGGTCTAGTATACAGTAGGTACTTAATAACTGTACCTATTCCATTCAGCCAAGAACCGCAATGTCACGGGTTGTCTTTGCAATGGTAGGATGAGATGCCCTGCTTGCGAAAGCCTAGCTCCAAAAACAGAGGGAGCTCAAAAGCTGAAAGGCGATGAGGCAGGAATTGGGTCCAAACGACCACTCGCCCTCACTAGTGCTCTTACCCGTCTTCTGGCTCTTCCTCCACAAAGGCAGTTTTCCAAATTCAGGTCTGGATCAACAGCACAGGCAAGCAGTGTTCCCAAACGCGAGAGGCTGCTGGCTCAGAACAAACTGCCTGCCACTGGCTTGCACTGGAGCTTGGTGGTCACTCACTGGGTGACCTGGGACATTTGTTTTAGCCCTGTTGGGTTTGGCTTCTCAACTGCCCACTGAGGCTAATGTGCCTGCCTGGCAGGGCAGATGAGAAGAAGAGAGAACAGCTATGGCAACAGCAGCCGACATGACTCAGTGGTCCCCGTGTGCTCCTTGCAGGTTTTATCAGCTCACCCCGAGGAGGCGGTGCAGGGCAGGGAGCCAACCGCCGGGCTGGAACCCCAGCTCTGCCACTGCCAGCTAAGTCATGGGCACATCGCTTCACCTCTGTCACTCAGTTCCTGCCCCTGTGCAATGGCAGTGGTGGGACAGCACTCATTCCAGGGGCCTGTCCCCAGGGACTGAATGAATCAGGAACTAGCCTCATGAAAGCCGAGGCTGGGGCCCGACACAGCGACGTGTACCCCACACCTGCTAGGATCCCCTTACTGAAAAACACAGCTGTTGCCACACCCATGGGGGTTACTCCTACTTTGTCAAAGGAACCCTACCTTTCTTCACATAGAAATAAACCCAAGTCACAAGGTAACCCATTGCCCACTGCCAAAAAAAAAAAAAAACACTTGTTTCCCCATGCCTTAAGCTAAGGGAGCCACATGGCCCCGTGCTGGCCAGTGAAGACTTAAGAAGTCCAGGGGGAGGAACTCTTCGAATAAGTTTCCTGAGGGATAAGGACAGCTTTTGAGGAGTGCTCATTGGCCCTCTTCCCTCACTGCCTCCCTTGGAATGCAGTTGTGTGAGGCCATCATGTGCAGCCTAGGGGCAGCCATTTTGCTCTGTGAGATTCAAGATGGTGGACAGACAGCTGCATGCTAAGGCTGGCACAGGGGAGAGATAACAAGACCATACGCTCCTCAGCACACCTCTAAGCCACACACCTCCCTCCCACCTTTAACTTTCTCTGAAGTTAGCGATAGATGTCACGGTGCAGCCCACTGTTGCTCGAGTTCTTGTTGTTACTGGAACTAAGTGCAAATCTCTGCTGAAGCCATGAGAATCCTGAACCTGCGAGACCAGGCACTAGACCGCGGCTCCTCCTCAGCTCCGAGTGACCAGGGTCTGGACAAGTCCTGTTCCTCTCGGCAGCATGGAGGACCCTGGCTGCAGTCAGGATTTTGCAGCCAATGACGACAGTGAACTTGGAAGCCAATAGGAAGAGGAGGCTTGGACCTCCTGAAAACTTCGGGGGGGGGGGCACCTCTGGCTGAATGGAAATGGATTCTTTTGTGCTGAAAACACACAGAAATGGGCAGGGGGAAAGGTGCCTTCTGAATGGCTTTCTCATGCTCATTTCAGCAAATGAAAACAAAAAGCAGGCTCCAGAGAACCCTGCTCACAACAGAGAAGTTAATACCTAGGGAGCCAGGCGGCAAATGGGGGAAAGAGTGCACTCAGCCCCCTGTGTCCAGAAATTATTCTTACTCTCCCCCCACCCCCAGCCCATTTGCTACCTTGCCCCTTTCTTCCCTTAGGGCATAATCACTAATGTTGCTCTCAGCCTATTCTGTCTCCCTGATTATGTGTAATTTATTTCTGAATCCTAGCCTCCGCCTGTTCGTCTGTGTGCAACAAGGTTAATGCCTGGTAATGATGCTTTTGCCAGTTGCGCCTTTCATGACAAAATCCAATCCTGATTTAGCTCTAAACCTTGTCTCCCCTTTGGGCTTCCTCGGTTCCCACGGAGTTGTCACTCTGTTTTTGAACCGAGACATCACGCCTACGCTATAGCCAGCTCCAAGAGGAAACTTTGCGGAGTAGAGCCCACACTCTGCTGTGGGTGCACGCACGTACTGTGCATGGAGGGAGCGGCGGGCACATGACCAGGCAAGCAGCGACCCCTCCTTGCCACTCCTTCATGCTGTTTCTCATTGACAACAAGCATTCCCCATTGTGCGCCACATATTGTAGGCCACACAATTCTAGGGGGCGCCAGTCACGTATTCTAGTAGGTGAAAGGTACCCTCTGGCGTTGAGTGGCACCATGGCTCTGCCCTGTCATCCCAGGTAAGGCAGGGCGCTCACAGCCGCGCTGCAGCTTTTGCAGCAAATGCGCAAAGGAAATGTGCATGAAAGTGGGGCCTGAGGGCCGGCACTGCGTGCAGCGAGCTGAGCCATCACCTGCAATGCCAGCGTCCCGCTGTCTCGGGTTCCAGCTGCTCCAGTTCGGATCCAGCTCCCTGCTGATGCACCTGGGAAAGCAATGCAAGATGGCCAAATGCTTGGGTCCCTGCCACCCATGTGGGAGACCTGGATCATATGCCTGGCCCCTGGCTTTGGTCTGGCCCATTCCCGGCCATTGCAGCCATTTGGGGAGTGAACCAGTGGATGGAAGGCTGATCTCTCTCTTTCTCTCCCTCTCTTTCAAATAAAATAAATAAATCTTTTTTAAAAAAGAAAAAGCCTCAACTGTGGGAAACCCAGCACAAGTCTAGTCTTACTCCTAAAGTGCTACAAGGACCCCTGCAGGATGGGTTTTCTTTACTAGGCAAATGCCAAGTAGGTGCCTAGCACTTTCTTTTACTGAATTTTTTATTTGGAAGGCAGAGAGAGACAGAGACAGAGACACAGAGACAGAGAGAAACACTTCCATCTGCTGGTTTTTCCCCCCAATGTCTACAAAGGGAGCTGAGTCAGGCCAAAGCTGGCAGCCAAGAACTCAATCCAGGTCTCCCACTTGGGTGGCAGGAACCCTGCTGCCTCCCAGGGTCTACATTAGCAGAAAGCTGGAGTCAAGAGCCAGAGCCAGGAATCGAACCCAGGTCCTGCAATGTACGATACAGGCATCTTGGTCAG